TAAAGTGTGGGAGTAGAGTAGTTCTGACCAGTTTTTACCTTCCTAGAGCCCTTGAACAACTTAAGAAAATAGTTAACTTGCTATTTAGCAGCCTGATTTAGAAATCCACATACTTTAAAAAAAAAAAATTCATAAAATAATAGCAAAATAAAGAAGCTATTATTTCTACTGCTAAGAAAATATAAATGAAAAGCACTGATCTGCACAGGTCAAGGCTACACACATTACAGAGTTAAAATAATGAAAAAATGATATAAAGTACTTCACTACCTGACAAACTTATATGGGGAAACTGGTCCTAGCGCTTACATTCTCTGATGCAGATGATAACTAAATTAGTAGAATATGAATGAGGTTTTAGAGACTAGCACAAGTATACTTAAAATGCATATCCAAGGCCTACCTTGAAGTACCTCTGATAAGTTATAACGGAAGTCCTTTGCTTTGGCTGCATGCATATAAAAACATGAAAATTGTTACTTGTGCTTAACTGTACAAATATTTTAAAATCTCTTTTTTAATATCATTCCCTTGCAACATTTCACTGTAAATCAATAAAAGCATACATCTACTCTGAAGTCTGTCTCCAAATTAAAATTCTTCCTCTTACAGTCTATCGATCTATCTAGATACTTTGGTAATAAGAATGAAAAACTTTAAAAGACAGATTACTTGTAAGAATGTTTTGTTTTTCTTTGCCTTTTTTCCCAAAAAGATGGTTATTATCTAAAAGTAAAGCAGAAATACAGGAGGCTCAATGGATCTATGAGTCAACTGAAATTAGATGTAAAACTGTACATTTAGACGTGTGCATTTTTTTCCCAGTGGCAGGATCCATATCTTTCACTGGATTATTAAAGAGGAATGTGACTCAACAAAAGGTTGCTGTTACAAGCTACCATCAAGTTGGCTCCCTACTCATGGCAACCCATGCACAACGGGGTAAAGAATCATTAATATAAAAAATCACAAAATCTGTAGTGATTATGGGGAGAAAGAGGAGAAAAGGGAACACTATCAGAAGTATCTCAGCAACTTTCTTGGAACAGCATACAGACCCCGCCTATACACATACACGTTACACATACGTCCACGCATGCCTATCCCATCTAGATTCTCAACAGAGCAACAGAGAAGTATG